TCCTGAGAGTACACCCCATTGAATAAACTGGGTCTTCTGAGTAGACCAGTTTAGGATTGTGCTCTTAATGATGCTGGCTGGGTTTTTTTTCAGCCCTTTGCCAAATAATCCCCAGCACAGTATATGCTTTTTTCATTACTGCTTTATACTGAGTTGACATTTGGATTGAGCTATTCACCGTGATTTCAACATCTCTTTTTTGGTCAGTTACCACTAGTTCAGGCTCCATTAGTGTATATCTAGAGTTATGATGTTGGTCCTAATGTGAACTGGCCTGTTTTCTGATTGGAAGCTGATGAGAAAGGAGTGACCAAATCTGGTTCTCAAAAGGCTTCCTTCCTGGCCATCAACATAGCCTCTGATCTCATTTATCCATAAAGTCCCATTTTCCTAAACTGAGACAGAGACAACTAGCTTTATAGACCTCTCTCCTACAATGTAAATAGAAAATAGAGGGTTTGTGAGTGTTAAAACTGGGGTTAGCTGAATATGTGAAAACATTTCCTTTAATAAATTTAGATGTACAAAGTTCTGATGAAAACTAGACAAATATTTTCCCTAGATTAGGGCCCACTTTTTTTTTTATAATTGGGGCATGGCTCAGTGGTAGAGGACACTTGCTTTGCCTACAGGTACTAGGGTCAGTCATAGGCATTTCCAGTTGAAAGGTTACCTGCAATCCTAGAGAGTTGCTTCCTATCCAAGTAGACAGTACTGGACTTGATAGGCAAATGGTCTTACTTAGTATACTTCCATTCCATCAGGTTCCTGGGTCATTTTCTACTTCTTATCCTCTGAAAAATAAGAAAGGATGAGAAGGACCTGGCTGGAAGGCCCATTTTGCTAATGTTCCCTGATGCTCTTTTATTTTTGTGCAGAACTGAGGGATGATTGCGCTCCAGCTCTTTGATCATTCCAAAGTGCACTCACAATTTTCAGTGGAAGAAGTTATTAGGAAAAGTAATAATAAAAGGATGACTGGAGTCATCTGGAATCATGAAAGCCTCTTAGGGCCTGACTGAAAGCTATCTGAAATGCAAATGTCTGTACATTAAAGCTCTTAAAAAGGGAATGGAGCTCAAGTATGGATAGACTTGATCTTCTACTCAAATTTATGGTAATGTCAAAGAAGAAAACTATCTGTCAAAGTACCAAGCTGGGTTATTGAACTTTTGGCTATTATCTGGATCCCTTTTTGACATATTTCTGCATGACAGGGGCTTGTCGCATGTGTGCCTCTGTGATGGGGAAAACATGGCAATCTGATACTGGATATAACTAGCTGATTCACAGAATGTCATTTATCTATGCTGTTTAAATAGAGTCCTTTTAAATAACTTCAGAAATGTACCTTCAATTTAAAAATGCACACCAGTTATGAAAGAGTTAATGCCTTAGCATGTACCAGTTTTGTGTAGGGACTCAACTTTTGATTCACTTTACAGACTGGCATGTTCCATGCATGGCTGGTAGCATGAAAGGTAGTTAAATTAGGCAATTGTAATCAAATTATTCTGTAACCAACTACCTATAAAGCAGCACAATGTTAAAGACAGCCAATGGACTTTTTGGAAGACTGGTGAATAATTCTTTGTAGAGGGGGGACTGCATACCTAATTCAGGGGCAATCTACATATTAACCTTGCAAAACAAAGGTGCAGCTATTGCACATATTCCTGTTGTCACTGGAATGGCATTCTCCACATGATTCAGGTAGCCATTTCTTATATGGCTATAGATTTACAGCCTTGGCATGGTGAGTATAACCAGGAAAGTCAGCATGGCGTAGTGAATATAGCGGTGGACTAGGACCCTGAGAGATTTGGGTCCAAATCTCCCTTCTGCCATGGGAACTTGCTAGGTGAAGAAGAAGAAGAAGAAGAAGAAGAGATTGAATTTATATCCCACCCTTCACTACCTCAAGGAGTCTAAGAGCAGCTTAAAATCCCTTTCCCTTCCCCTCCCCACAACAGACACCCTGTGAAGTAGGTGGGGCTGAGAGAGCTCTCCCGAGAACTGCCCTTGAGAGTACAGCTCTGAAAGAATTTATGACTGACCCAAGATCACAACAGCGGCTGCATGTGGAGGAATGGGAAATCAAACTTGGTTCTTCCAGATTAGAGTCCGTGCTCCTAACCACTACACCAGTGACCTTGGGCCTGTCACAAATGCTCAGCCTGGCCTAGCTCACAGGGTTGTTGTGGGAGAATGGAGGAAGGGAGAACAATGTTCTAAGCTGGGGAGAAAAGCAGGATATAAATAAATAAATGCATTGTTCAAATGCATGTATAATGTGTGTATCCATCTTTGCTGCAGGAGGTGGAGCCAATCATATAAACGGCGGTTGCAGGGGGTGGAGCCAACCATGAAATGTTAGAGAGTGATGTTATATCTTGTATCTAATAGTCAAGTGTGCCCGGATCTGCGGATACTTCTATCTGTGGACTGGGGCCACACTTACAGGAAACAGATATCCTGCAAACTTGAGGGACCTCTTAGGATTACAGAAAATCTGAAAACTTTTAAAAATACATTGGAGGACTTAAATCCCTCCCAAACAAGAGCACAAGTGCACTCCCTCCAGTGGCTTCCCGCAATGCTTCCCCCCCTACTCCACATTACTTTACATCTGGAGGGAGGGGAGGAAATGGGAATGGGGTAGACAATGGAAAGGATGAAATGGTTTATTTCTATATGTTGAATTCCTAAGAAAAATAAAATTTGTTTAAAAAAAAAAAAAAAAAAGAGCACAAGTGCAGACAATGCAGCCATGGTGGCATTTTGGGCTGGAGAGAGAGAGAGAGAGAGAGAGAGAGAGAGAGAGAGAGAGAATGTGTGCATGCAGCAGAAAGGAGGAACTATTGTCAGAAGAGCTCAGCCACAGCATTCACCCCCAGCTACTTGTGAGACACTATATTCATGATGGGGGGATGCAGGTAAATGCCATGCTGATAATGAGGCAGGGGGAGAGGCAAAGCTGCTGGGTGGGTGGCCAGGGGAGTGAAGGAGCAGAAAACTTTTGCTGGCAGCTAGGCCCATATTTGTTACCAGGTGGGGGTGGGGGTGGGAGGTGAAGGAGTTCTTGCAATCGGCAGTAGGGGAGAGTGAATACAAGAGAGGGAAGGAGGGGAAAAGAGGAAAAGAATTAGGGAAAGGGG